CATTTAAGTGTCAATATGTTTGTTTTAAACCTCTTTGGAATGGAAATATTTATAAAATATATTGCATACTTTCTTGTCTTAGTAAATAGTATATTAAGTACCTTTTATTGATAAGTTTCTTTATCAGTGATCAGTTATTTAGGAAGGGAATAAGCACTTATTAAGTACTGACTATGTGCTAAGTACTTTACAAAAAAAACATTTTATCCTTTGATCCTCTCAACAACCCTAGGAGGTGGGAACTATTATTAGCCCTATTTTACAACTGAGGAAACTGAGGTAAACATTAAGTAAATAGTCCAAGGTCACAACGCTAGTGAGTGTTTGTGGCTCTATAGTCTGGGATACTAAACTTCCCTGAAATGTGTATCAACTCATACCTTAAAACTTGTTTAATAAATTCCATTATGTCTGATTTCCTGTCACTTACCTTTTTTTTTTCATAAAGGTGCATAAAAGTTACCAATCCTTTCACTATATGGAAGAAGTTGCACTTCTGCAAAGTAATTATTGAATCAAAGTTGAAGCAGCCTTCTTATAAGTTGTTTTCTTGCCTTCAACCAAATCATCTTTGTTTTGTTTTGTTTTTGCTAGGCAATGGGGTTAAGTGACTTGCCAAGGGTCACACAGCTAATAAGTGTCAAGTGCCTGAGGCTGGATTTGAACTCAGGTCCTCCTGACCATCTAGCAGCCCGAACCAAATCATCTTTGACACCTTTATCACAATTCTCAAATTTTTTTTTAGCACCATTTAAACATTCTCTTATTTTCAAGCTTCAACGAACAACTCAACACATTTTAGCACTCATTTTTAACTTCATGAAGAGGGGCAACTAGGTGGCGCAGTGGATAGAGCACTGGTCCTGAAGTCAGGAGGGACTGAGTTTAAATCCAGCCTCAGACACATAACACTCACTAGCTGTGTGACTCTGGGCAAATCACTTAACTCCCAATGCCACACACACACACACACACACACACACACACACACACACACACACACAAAGAACTTCATGAAGAAATATCATCTTGACTGGCTATAACAAAAAGAGTCAAAAGAGGTTGAATTTTTGTACTTACAAGCATAAATGAGACTTCTAGAATTGAATAAAGTGCAGATGTTATCTGTCACAGTGTTCAGTATTTGAGTGTACTAAACATTTAGGTTCAGGCAATCGCTTTTACTTAAAAGCAAGGCTTTCATTTGAAGCAAAAATGCCGATTAATAGGACTTTACTCAAAATGGCTCCAAAAATAACTACCAACAAATGAGCTTTGATTATTGTTCTCTCAGTTCTACAAACATTTAATCCCTTTAGAAACTCTTGATTATCGACAGCCAATTTTAACTCCAAAAATGCCCTCCCTTCCCTGGCCATAAATTATGTGCTTAAGGCACACAGACTCACTCTAATACTGGCCTAAGCAAAACACAATTAGGAAGATACATCTGAAAAAGATGAGGAAAACTACCACTTTATTACAGTCTTATCTATTTCTGGGCTAGAAACATACTCAGTTCCTTTACCTATCCTCATATGATCATATGGTTTTAAGTTTCCTCACAACCTTGGTCACCTTTCTCTAAACACAATCCATCTCAATATTCTTCACAGAAGTTGGTACTCGGAACTGAACACAATACTCCAAACATAGTCTATATAGCACAAAGTACAGAGGGACTATTACTTTGCTTGTTCTGGACAATATATTTATAACCACAGTTTTTTGGCAACCATGTCACACTGACTCTTATTGAGCTTGCAATCATCTAAAATCTCCAGGTCTTTTTCACATGAAATGCTTGGCTTCCCTATTAGGTATTTGTACAGTTGATTTTATTTTAACCTTAAGTGCACAACTTTAAGGAAAATTTTTATAAGTCACAAAAGACTCACACTGTCACTAGGTCATTTTCCCCACAATAAATGGTATAAGGAACACTTTTTAACTGCTGAGGAAAAGGTAACTACAATGTGTGCAACCTGGCTACATAATACTACAGAAGTGATAATATAAGGAAAGTAGTTTCTAAAGTTATATAAAATGTTTTCTTCCTTTGAATACAGTCACATTACAAATTAAGAAGTCTTTAAAAGAAATACTACTATCCTGTTTTTTCAGCAAGAAGAAAAGACTAAGTTAGCTACAAAAGCTAATATTTTAAGTTTCTCAAGGTGAAAGGGAATTTATTTTGTGTTTTTTAAACTACTTACAACTTAATATTTAATAAAATTATTTCTTTATTACATATTTTATTTAAAAAGCACATCCACAATACACACAGGATTAAACTAAATTTAATTAATTTTTGTTAAATGCAACTATGGCAAGTTCTTGATAATAGATATTCTAATGCCTGTGGCAAAAATATTCATAATTAACCTAATGATTTTGCAAAAAGGATCTAACACTCATAGTTGGGAAATAAAATAATCAAACATCACAGTTTTACAACATTACATCAGTAGGATACTTCTGGCTTTTCAAAGTCCTTTCATATCTATACTGTTTCTGATACTTATTAGATTAAGAGGAAATGCTGGAAAAAGAACCAGGGCAACCAGATGAGTCACTTGTCAATGCTCCAGCCTTTTAGGAAATTACCATGTGTTGCTACCTATCTGTAACTAAAACAGTGCTAGAGATGATGTTGAGAAAGAACACTTTGAGCTCACCAAGAAATAAAAACACCTAAAATTACTTAGGTAACATCTTAAATTACTTAGGTAACAATTAAAACAAGAAATTTTGACAACTAGTTACATTTAAGGTTTGAAAATCACTTTTCTAGGGACAGCTAGGTGGCACAGTGGATAGAGATCCGGCCCTGGAGTCAGGAGGACCTGACTTCAAATCCGGCCTCAGACACATAACATTTACTAGCTGTGTGACCCTAGGCAAGTCACTTAACCCCGATTGCCCATCAAAAAGAAAAAGAAAAAAAAATCACTTTTCTAAAATAAAACGAAACTTTAAAAAAACCTAGAAGAGAGCATAATTATTCAGTTTTTAAAGATCAGGAAACTGAAATCAAATGACTTGCCCAAGGCCACTATTAAGTTATAGGGTCTGATGTCCAACCAAGTCTATCTAGCACTCCTTCTACTATACCATATCTTCTCAATAAGAAAATGATTAATAATAGATCAAATCATTCCTGGACCTAATAATAGCTAGCATTTATATAGTTCTCCAAGGTTTGCAAAGAGCTTTACAAATGATTACTTCAATTTATCCTCACAACAAGGCTGGGAGATAGGTGGTATCCCCATTTTGCAGATAAGGAAAGAGACTGAGAAAAGTTGCCCATGTTCACACAACTAGTACCTGCGGTCCGATTTAAATTCAAATCTTCCGGACACCAAGTTCATCCATTCTTACTTAACCCACTGTTCCACCTAGCTGAGCTGCCTTATCTCTGACCTGACCCACTCAATACAAAAACAGTTTGCAAATACATATGACATATTATCTCTAATCTTAGCCTCAAAATGCCTTTTTTTGAAAAGAAATATACCTACCTGAAAATACATTTGGAAGACAATTTTCTCAAATTTTTATCACAATAATCACTAGATATCACAATCACTTGCAGATAACATCTCATTCTTAGACCTATTTCATTTACAAATTCTACCTGACGAAAACTGAAGTCATACCACAAAGTAAATAATCAGCATCAACTTTCTATAACCACGGTCAGCAACGTGAAAATTCAAAAAAAAAACCTGTTATAAACACCTGTTCGATAATTTCCAAATTTCAAAACAATGGGCATTTTTTCTTAGTGGTAAGATCCTGCTTGACAACTAAAGCTTCAACATAGGTATTCTAAAGAAACACATTTTCGATATTGCAAACACCTCTTTAGCCGGTATACCGCACAGACTGACTTATGTCTGACCTCCTTCCAAAATGAAAAAAAAAAATAATCACTAGAACTGTTAAATTACACTTAGGCACATGGAGTCACTCTTCCCTCAAATCACTTTACAGAGAACTTCCCCGTTTGCTCCGCCCCTCTAATAACTCATGCAAAAAAAAAAAGTTCAGCACCATTAGAAAGGAACAGGACATGGACAGTAGGCGAGATGGCAAATGGCTCTTAATCCCCGGGAAAAGGGGACCCGAATGTGTCCCTTCGTGAGGTGCAGACCCCCAGCAGAAGCCTGGATGAGGGGCTGTGGCTACCGTCACTCTGTAAAGGGCTCCCTTTCCGCAGACGCTCCTGCGGCCATGCCTCCCCTGAGCAGCACAAGGCCGCATTACCATCATCCTTCCGTCGCTATATTGAGGAGGGGGTCCGTGGCACCCCACCACTGCTCAGGGTCCCCCGCGGAAGGGTCACCGGGTGCTGCCCCTCTTCCTCCAAACCCGTGAGCGCTACCTGCCTCCCCGATCGCCCCCCCCCGTCCCCTTCACGTCGCCGCCCCTCCCCCACTACCTTCTCGGCGGAGGCCTGCGCCAGCCGGGGTCGGGGATGTGGGCGCCGGGGCCCGGGGCCCCCCCGGCCGGGGGGGCCGCTCTGGGGAGCCGCCGGGGGAGGACGGGCGCCGCCGCCCTCCCGGTGTGGAGCGGCCGTGGCGGGGCATGGGGAGGGGGCAGGCCCCCCCGCGAGGCCAAAGGAGTCTGAGGGCGGCGGCCGGCAGGGTGCGGGGCCCGATCCCTCCCTCCGCCCCCGGGGCCCCGGCTCGCCGAGCGCGGCCAGGCCCCATCCGCCGGCTCCCCGGGACGAGAGGCAGGTCCCCGCGTCCTCGTCCCGCGTCGGGAAAGGACGGGGGAGGGAGGCACGAGGCTGGGGAGGGGCCGAGGCTGCGCCCGCGCCCGCGCCCTCACCCCGGGACCCCGTCACTGCCACCGCCGCCGCCTCGGAGGGAGGGCGGGAGCCGAGAGGAAAGCCCGGAGTGGGAGCGAGAGGACGGAGGGGGGAAGCCCAGGTCTTCCCGGCTGCCCGCTCCCGAGCCCGCTCTCCGCCTTCCCGTGCCCGCGTCTCTTACCCGTGATGGCGGTGAACTGCTGGATTAACCCCTTCAGCGCCGAGGAGGCCGCAGAGCCCCCGTGCGCCGCCATCTTGCCGCCGCCGCCGCCGCCGCCGCCACCGCCGCCGAACAACAACACAGACACAAGTCCTCCCTCCCCGCCGCACGCTCGGCGCAAGCGCGCTGCCCGCCCCGCCTCCCGCTCTCTCTGCAGGGGCCCCGCCCCTCCCCGCCCCACTGTATGCTCTGCGCAGGCGTCCCACCGAGCCCTTCCCATTCCACGCTTCTCCCCTTAGTGTGTGAGTACGCTATTCTGCCAGCCCTCTTAGCGACCGGACCCGCCCTCTTTCGGCCGGACTGCTTTCGGTAGCCCCGCTGCCGGTTCTTTCCGTTTCAAATTCAAAAAGCTTTATTGGTTGCCTCCTCCACGGACACTTGGCTGCCGTGGCTGGCTTTTCTTTTTTTTAGCGCGGGGTGATTTGCATCTTTGGCTACCCAGCGTGCTCCGCGGGGCATCCTGACGGGGGTCCGGTGGCTCCAGGCAGGGGAGCCCAGGGCGGTCCCCGCGGGGTGGGCAGAGGCAAAGCTGGCGCCCCTCCCATTTCCCCTTTGGAGGCTGCCCCTGCCGCGCGCCTGGAGCGTTTGTCTCCCTGCCAAACCCCCGTGTAGGGCCCCTTGCCGCCTCCTCCCTCATCCCTAACCTGTGCTGCGTCTCTGGTCCTTTTGAGCCCTTTTCTTTGCTAGAAGTTGGACTAAGGTGATAGGAAAAAAAAACACGCAAAAAAAACGTGCCTTCCATTCCTTCTTCATTCTTTCATGCATTCCTGCCTGCATCCTTTATTCCTTCTTTCATTTCTCCATCCCTTCTTTCATTTCTCCATCCATCCATTCATTCAAAAAATTGGAAAACACTTCCCTTCAGTGAGACTCAGATTGCTCATCTGTCATTTGTTGGGGGGAGGGAGGAAAGGAAGGTGACTTCTAAGGTACCTTCCCGCCTTTACCTTCTATAATAATGTGACCCTTGGGGGAGGAGGAAGGGGTGGAGCAGAGAGAGAAAACCTAAAAGCCTCGGCTTCAATCCTCCCTAAGGGACTATCCCAGAAATAGTTGTGTCCCGGGAATAGGTGTGTCAAGCCGTATTTTAACCCATTTAAGAAGTATCTATTAAGAATCAAGAAAGAGAAAAGGGGAGGGGGGCTTGGAGTTGGACTGTGAGAAGGAAGCGAGAGAAGCCTGAGCCTGAGAGAGTTAAGGAGGAGCTCTTTCTAGTCTGACAGCAAAATCCAAAAACAAACAAACAAAAGCCTATGGAAGTTGATTAGAGACCAGGATATCGCCTCCATCCCCACTAACGAAAGCAACCGGTGCAAATCCTTGCATCCCCAGAGGAGTCTAAAATTACACCAGCAACCTTGAGGTACCCAGAGGCCTTCATTTTAGGACTGTTTGAATTTGGGCTGAAGAGGAGAGGGCAGGGAGGGCTTGCCACAGTAAGCCTTTTGTGGATTTTCTTTGTTCTCTTGATAGGGTTGTTTCTGTTTTAAGCTTCCACTTGAAGTGCTTACCGGGCAATGAGCCTTTGTTTGGGATCTTGGATGAGCAACTCAGGCCCATTGCTAGTATTCTGAGGACAAAGCTCATTCCTGATTAAGTGTCAAGGACTAGGGCTGCCTCGAAATTAATTGGCTGGTTTGGTGCTGTTCCTTAGTGAATGAAGAAGTATTCATTAAGCACTTAGTAGGTGGAAAGCACTGTGCCAATAATAACCGGGTAGGCAAATGGAAAGGAAAGACTGTCCTTGTTCTCAAAGAGCTCCCATTCTAATGGGGGAAACAATGCATTTGGAAGGTTTCAGCTGCAAGACAGATGAGAAGATCCTATGGTCCTTAGGGTGCAGCAGCAAAGCAGATGGCAATGTTTCTTCTGTAATGTAATTTCCACTGATAGAATCACATCTGATGTTGGACCATTTTGTGATGCCAAGGGCTTTGGTGACCAGAATTTTCTTTTCTGGGTCTTTAATGGCTGTGGCTGAAGCACCTTTAGGAGCCAGGCTGAATCTCCACAGGAGTTGGTTTCTTCCCAGGATGACAACTGGGAGGTCTGGGCTGGAAGCACTGCTATTCCCACGGTTCTTGGGCTGAGGGTTTGGGGCTTTCTTTATTAGGGTCTGAGGGGAGATGGTGGTCAAGGTGGTTGTCATAGTTTTATGTACCTGGCACATGCTGTCTCCTGCTTCTCTCTCAGAGTACCTCACTGCTTCAACTTTGGCAGGCTTGCCTACCCTGTGGGTGGCAGTTGGTTGGAAATTTTGTCCAGGGGGCCCTCTCTGGTCTTCAGTCCCCTGACAGCTCTATTCCTGGCTTCCAGACTTGCAAACCATGCTGTCTTATCCTGGAACTTCTCTCAACACCTGGGGCCTCCTCATCCTGGAACATCCCTCTGTTTGACCACTCCCTTCTCCTGTCAGAGAGTCAGCTAAGTGGTACAGTGGATAGCTTGCTGGGAGTCAGGAAGACCTGAGTTCAATTTGACCTTGGATACTTCCTAGCTTTGTGACCCTAGGCAAATCACTTAACCTCTCCTTGCCTCAGTTACTTCAAATATAAAATGGGAGATAATAACAGAACCTATTCTCCAGGGTTGTTGTTAGGATCAAATAAGATAAAGTGGCTGGCATTTTTGTGGTTGTTGTTCAGTCATGTCTGACTCTTCTTGATCCCATATGGGTCCCCCATTTGGACCCCATTTTCTTGGCAGAGATCCTGGAGTGGTTTGCCATTTCTTTGTCTAGCTCATTTTACAGAAATTTTGCAGAAATTTAGGCAAACAGGGTTATGTGACTTGCCCGGGGTCACACAGCCAGTAAGTGTCTGACACTGAATTTGAACTCAGGTCTTCCTGACTATAGGCCCAGTGCTCCATCCACTCCTCTACCTAGTTGCCCTTACTTTTAAAATCTAGTCTGGCATTTAATAGACACTTAATAAAAACTTATTTCCCTCCTTCCATTGATGAGTTCTTCCTGGAGCCTCTACTTTATGGAGGGGCCCATGCCCATCTTCATTGCCTTCCTGGCCCTGTTCTTGGCTTCTAGGTTTTCAAAAACATATCCCCATTAGAATGTGAGCTCCTTACTCTGCCCAAAGGGCTATAAAACTGTACATACCTTTTGATCTAGAAATACCACTACTAGGTCTGCATCCCAAAGAGGTCATAAAAAAGGAAAAAGGACCCACATGGACAAAAATATTTATAGTAGCTCTTTTTGTGGTGGCAAAGAATTGGAAATTTGAGAGGATGCCCATCAACTGGGGAATGGCTGAGCAAGTTGTGGTATATGAATGTAATGGAATACTATTGTGCTATAAGAAATGATGAACAGGCTGACTTCAGAAAAACCTGGAAAGACTTGTATGGTCTGATGCTGAGTGAAGTGAGCAGAACCAAGAGGACTTTGTACACAGTAAGAACAACATTGTACGATAATCAGCTATGATAGATTTAGCTTTTCTCAGCAATACAGTGATCTAAGACAATTCCAAAAGACTCATGATGGAAAATGCTATCCACATCCAGAGAAAGAATATGGAGTCTAAATGGCAATTTGTTCTGATTCTTCTTTCACAGCATGACTAATGTGAAAATAAGTTTAATATGATTGTACATATATTGCTTATATCAGATTGCCATCTTGGGGAGGGGAGGAAGGGAGAAAAAAATTGAAACTCAAAATCTTGTAAAAGTGAATGTTGAAAACTGTCTTTACATGTAATTGGAAAAAAATAAAATACCATTAAGTGGTGGTGGGGAGAGAGGGGCGGGAAGAGGAGGAAGAATGTGAACTCCTTGAGGCCAGGGACTATTTTTCTTTTTTTGTTTGTTTGTATTTGTATCACCAGTATTTATTACAAGAGCTTTATAAATGCTTTTTTTTCTTCCTTCCTTCCTTCTTTCCTTCCTTCCTTCTTCCTTTCTTTGTTCTTTCCTTTCCATCCTTCTCTCCTTCCCTCCTTTCCTTCCTTCTTTGTTTCCTCCCTTCCTTCCTCCTTTCCTTCCATTGTTGGGGTTAGCTGGACCCTTCTCAGGAATTTCTTCCTTGGATGATGGCTGGGGGAGGGGGGGAGGCTCTGGACTGGAAGCAGGACCAGTGGTTTCAGTTGGTCAGCAGTTGTTGCTGGCAGTAGTGAGGGAAATAGGAAAGTCTCCACAATGATTTCTCCCTTCAATGACGACTGTGGGGGCTGAGCTGGAAGTAGTCTGATGGTTTGAGTGGCACAGCTATCCCTGAGGTTCTTAAAGGTCCTAGACTATCTCCATTGGAGTCTGAGGGGAGATGATGGTCAAAGTGATGGTGGTGGTTCAACTTGCCTAGTAACATACTACCTTCTGTGTCTCCCTCAGGGGAGATGAGTTTTAGTGACTGTGGCTGCCTCCCCTACTTCCCCCGCCCACCATTTCATTTGGTTGGCTAGTACTCTTGAGAGGAAAAACAAAGTTTACCTGGATTCCTTTAGGGGGAAGCCAGGTTATATGTCCCACGCCTTTGGTCCCAGCCCCGCCTATAACACATACCAGAATCTGGTAATAGCTGCTTTGGAGAAGAAGCACATGAAGACCTAAATGAATTCACTCACACAGTCAGGAGAGTTCCTGGCCTTTTGCCTTTCTATTTCCCTTCCCCAGAGACCAGAGAATTGAATATGGTCTTTTCAGATCCAAGAGATGATAGCAGCTTCAGTAATTGTAATTCAGGAGTAAAAGGATGATTAATGACTGATAGATATGGCCCTCTTCCAACTTCACCTCCACCCAGATGGGCAGAGTTGTGACGGCTGAAACAGCTGCATACATGGGTAAATAACAGGCCTACTCAAGGTGGCACTACTTACCAGGGCATAGGATGTGCCCTCACCCACTTTCCTTCTTAACACTTCATATGTTTCCCCCTACATTAAAAAGAATACCACCAACATCCTTACCCCAAAGTCTCTTCCCAGTAAGGTGTCCCATAACTGTTCCATGTCTCCAGGGAGCCCATCCCAAAACAAAGTATCTATCCTGCTTGGTCTGATGTTCAATGCGCACATATAGGTCCTTCTGCATGATCCTCTCCCACCAGTGGAACAAGGTGGAGAAATTAGA